GTCCATTAGTGGGAAAATACAAGTTAGCTGTAGTAGTGACAAGTACAATAAATGGACACAACACTGAGATCCATTAAAAGATACTCAGGAGACACCTAAACATTCATTTAACTGTTGAGTAAGAAAGGCACAGTACTGTGTCTGCCTAGAGTGAGTCTGTTCCGTTGATCAAAATCACAGGAAATAATACTAGTAATTGTTCTTAAGTGTTTGCCAGACTATTTGTTTATTTGTTTGACTTTTAATGGAGCATTTTAAAGATTCATTCCCTGAGGTTGAACTTTGTCTTTCCCTGCTTTGCTGATCTGCTCTGTGGGGTATAACACTTTCATGGATCTGCTCTGTGGGACACAAATGGCATTATATAACATGAGCCAGGACCACTGAGACCAATTTTCCTCTAATCTATTTATTCTTTGCTCATCATGTGAATAATTTATTCCAGTAGGCAAGTGTGCACTTGGCATTTATTTACTATTCACTGATAGCATAAACTTTATTAAAGTAGGTGCAAATTCACACTTAGAAGAGACAATCTTTTGCAAGTGTAAGACACTTACTAAATCAAGATACTATGGTCCACTGTAAGTATGAACATTAAGGATTCTTTCATTCTTTAACAATTCTTTAACAATTCTCTCTCTGATCTTATCTTTCCATTTTAAATAAACTATCACCATCTTCTTGCAGATAAATGAAATATTGCTCAACTTAACTCCACTAGCAGGAGCTGGGAAAGAAACAGGTGTTGGGGACAGGGCACAAAGATGGCCTCTGCTTGTAGGGGCATGCAGAGAGAGTGAGAATCAGAAGAGCCCACCTCAGAATGAGCAGGCAAGGAGCAAGGGAATGACTTGCTGGCCAGAGTAAGACACTCACACACTGGACTGGAAACCAGGCAAAGGGACAGTATAATAGTCCCAGGACAGTGAGTTGGACTGTCTGGCCAAAGGATCCATATGCTTTGGGTACAGCACTATAGGCAAGCAGGCTAATCACAAATGTGAAGTCTGGGAATCCTCTGGGTAGAGTGGGAAGGTTCTACATTATACCTAAAGAAAAGAGCTAGGCAGCACCTGAGAAGTAATTACACATATAAGTACCTCATGTTGGTCATTTCAAATGAGCCCAACATTACACTAAGTGCTTCATGTGCTGTGGTATTCCTAATAAGAGCTAAGCAGGGGTGTTCTCCTTCTTTATCTTCCCTCACTCCCTTTGAAGTAGCCTTGACCATAAACTTTCTTTGTCCAATAAGCATGAGTCAAATGGATGTATCACTTCTGGGTAGAGCATGAGAGTCATCATTTGATTTTACCAATTTCCCCTAAGCTGCTTTGGTAATCATGAAAATGAGCATCAGGAATGAGCTTGTTTTCAAGTGAACCTGCAAACTCTTCAAGGAGGAATGTGAATTTGCATCTTGGTGGCGGTGAGCTCTTTTCCTAAGGTCAAAAATTAATAAGAAATGGAGTCGGAGTCTAAACTCAGGTCTGCCTAACCAGAACCCTTGCTTTCAACCACACTTTAGCAAAGGCCAATTGAATATACAGAAGAGAAAAAAAGGCATCACCCTCTCCATAAATAGCACCAGGAGACTTTTAACTGGCATAAAACCCCCTGAGTAAAGGAGCCTCTGCATCTCTCCCCGATTCTAAAAGATAAAAAAAGTAATGATAAAAAGGGCACAGAGCATAAAGGACACCAGCCTAATGCCATGTCTTATGGGATAGTCAAATCCTATGAAATCACTGTCCTCAAAGTGACTTAGCCCAAAGAGGGCTGAGACTTGTGGAATTAGGGTATTGAAGGGGTGGTCCTAGCCCCTTTTGCTTTGCTATACTGTAATTCTTCACTTCTACATTGTACCTAAAGTAAAAACTGTAACCTATAAAGAATACGACTTCCATTGCTTCCCAAGTCGAATGCCTTCTAAAGCTGTAGGCATTATGACAGAATAAGAAGCAGAATGTGCAACTAACAAGACAACATTAGGTATGTGGCCAGTAACTTTACCAGAGTTCAAAGTCCAGAATTCATGACACAGAACACAACTTGCTTATACCTTTTTCAAATCATGATTCAGCGATGGAAAAACTGTCTACCCATACTTCTTTCTTAATAAGTAGGTATTCGTCTTAAGTACTGATAAATCAATGACAGGAATCAAATTTAAAGATGCATTGAAAATATTTTAATCCTCAACCGATTCATGTCATTTTCCTCTTGCCCAACCTGGGGATTCATCCAGTAGCCTTTAAACCAGAAAGAGAGAGAGATAAATTATTCTCACTTTTAGCAAAGTGGGTGGAAATGTATTCTGTAGCTGTCACTTTCCATCGTGTTATTGACTTTCAGATTAAGCCGTGCCTCTGAAGTCTGGACAGAATCTACCCACTGCCACATCTCATCTCAGGGAATCCCGTTATTGTGATGACTGAATACGTGTGTCATTTGAAGTCATAATTTATTTATCCCCTTAATACTTAGATTGGCTTTTAAAGTACCAGCAAAATAACTGAGAGGCTGTTTTCAGGCATATGATCTCCATTATAATTATTAATTCATTTTTAACATAATAAAAATGGTGGTCATCTATTTGATTAGACAATAAGAAAGGTGTTTTCTAAACCATCACATGTTGCCTTTTAATTCCTATGACACATTCATCCTAATTCCTGCAATATTTAAACTAGAAAGCAACATACAGGTTCAGAACATTGCCTACAATAAAGTTAACATTCTCCTGCTTTGTGTGGCAACCATATACCAGGCTACCTTTGTTATGGGTTTTAAAACTCAAATTGGTCTGGATGTTTCAGGTAACATTGGTCTACCTGAAACATCACAGACTATGAAACCCAACATATATAATAAATACTGAATGCTTGAATTCAAGTAAAATTTATATCTTTGTATGACTTTAATTTTTATAGCACTTTCATTAATATTAATTCATTAAAAATGTTTGTGGATATCGCAAAGAGGTGGAAGAATATAACAAAACTCGTCTGAAGCAAATCCCCATTTCTAATTGAAAGTGGGTTTGAATACACATCTCTCGTGAAACATAGTTGAGAAAGCAGAACAAACACTATTCTGATTTTAATAACAAATGAGGTGATTGATTTGTTTTGTTTTGTTTTTTTTAATGAATGCAATGCTCTCTTTTGGAGTATCTGAGTGAAGAAATAAACACAGATCACACATGCTTTCAAAGAACCAGCTCTTCATTTGCTTGATCTCTAATCCTCAGGAGAGGACCCAGCATCCTGTGCAAAAAGGTGAGGCTGCTGTGGCCCACATGGTAGGTATAATACTTTAAATTAAAATCTGGACATGAAAAAGCATTTAAGTATAATGCATGCAACATCTGTGACTCAAGAAGACACAGTTATAGACGGTTGCACTATTGATTTTCAGTAAGAGAATAAAGGAAACAGATCAGCCCAAAGCACGAGCTGCAAATGAACACACATTCAGGGTAAAAACTAAAATGAAGACTTGTTCTGTCACCATTCTAGGGCTGGATCATTTTTTCTTGGCACTAAATCAACAATATCAAGAACTAAATTACATAAAGATGCTATTAGCCCCCTTTAAACTCACATCACCAGTCCCTTCGTTAATTCCAGAGTATACGTTTTTAAATTGATACTGCTGTTGCTTTTCAAACAACTTGGCATCATAGAATCTCCAACAGTGACTTCTGTGGTCTTATGGATCTCAGGCATCTTTCTGGCATCAATAAATGACTCTACACACAAGATAGAGCTTGCAAATCAATTCAAAGCTTTAAATTCAGGTTTTAGAATTAGTCATTCCACGGATTTAATCAGGCCAGAAAAAAAAAAAAAAAGGAACAGACCCTCCTTGCAAATTGTAATAGAGAAAAACCTTTTTGAAGGCTTCCTCCTGGGAAGCCCTGGGTGCTGCAAAGTCCACAAAAAGCCCTGGGGTGGGGGTGGGGCAAATGGGATTCAGGTTGGTGCAGCTGGAAAGATGTGTGAGTTACAGGAGTTTTGGATCTTATCTTTTTTATCATTATTGGCGTCATGACCCAAATACAGGGAAACCTCCACATTCCATTAACTGACTCAATGTGGATTCTGTTGTTCCAAGGGAAGAAAAGAGCAATTCTCCTTACCTAGTTGTGCTACACTCTAGAGATAATTCTTAGTTTCATTTTAACATTTGGCTTAAAAAGATGCTGGCGGGCCAGATTTGCAAAACCCCAAGAATTCACATAACACCTTTTTAGAAGGACTTTTTCCTTTCAGAATGGCCAGTCACAGGGGCTCAACCCTGGAGCCAATAATACTGCGCGCCGAAGCTTGCACTCAAAATGAGTGGAGATCTTAACTCGCAAGCTCCCAGGCTCCCACCCTGCAGAGTAGCAGGTTTCGGGGTAGCAGGGAAATCCGCTCATTCTTTCATCTCTTTCCTTGCAACGCGCAAATCTCTAATTGGGCTTAAGTAGATAAGATCGCCAGCTGCTCATCTCGGTGGACACACTGCAGAAAACTCTAATGGCTTGTGTGTGGGCTCAACCTGGGTCTCCAGTAACAACTTTACAGTTTCATCAATTTTAGTTTCTGGACAGAGTGAAATGGCCCAAAAGGCTCAGGCAAACGCCCCTCTAAACCCTCTACCTTACAACGCCACGCTTATGGCACTTTCTACTTTATACTCACCTCGTACATATACCCCCGCCCCCCAAAACAGAGTGCATATGAACCCTACAGAGAGAAGCTGGTGAGAAGGTCTGGGTTTGCAGGGGCCAAGCGTTGCCTGAAAGGGAATCCCCACTCCCTTCCCCCTCAATCCCGTCATTAAGGCGAGAAACTGAAGGAGAAAAAGCCCCCAGATCGGACCGAGGAATTGGACGCCCTTGTCCCCGCGCCTAACTCCCAAACCCTGAGCGCGCACTGGCCACCACCTCAGGAGGGGTGGGTGCTGCAAGTGCGAAGCGGAGGCCCCCGGGAGCGAGCCGTCCTTACGTGCTCGAGTTTGTCTTTCCTCCGGAGCCAGACGCTGGCGCTGTAGTCCTGCTGCTTGACGCTGCTGTAGAAGTTCGCGCCCACTCGGGTCAGGCTGGGCGAGGGCTCCTTGGGGCGGCTTTTGAGCCTCATCTGCTCGAAGCCCTCGTGGGGGGAGGCCGAGAGCCACTCGTGCTGCCGGATCTCCATCCTGACATGACCAGGCGGCAGCCAGCGCGCAGCGGACTCGGGATGAGAGCAGCGCGCAGGGAGCGGAGCACTGAAGGCGAGCAGGAGGCCAAGCAGGGGTGGAGAAGGAGTGTGCGGGCTCAGGAGCGCGGAGTGCCGACGCCGGCGGGGAGCGCGCGGCTGGGCGGGAGGGGCGGTCGCAGGAGGAGAGGGGCCGAAGGAGCGAGGGCGGGGTCGGGACAGGGCGGGGGAGGGGGCGGACAGCTGGGGCGGGGGAATGAGTGATGCAGGGAGGAGGGGGAGCCTGCTTTGGGAGAGAGAAGTGCCCCGGGGAGGCGGCGGCAGCGGCGGCGGTGGCCGCGACGTCGCCCGGCGGCTGCGGTCCCGAGCGGGCGTTCCGCTCTCCGGCTGCTTGCTGCACCGACTGGGACCCGGGCCGGTCCGGGCGAGCGGCAGCGGCAGCGGCGGGGGTGGGGTGCGGTGGGAGGGGCCGCCGCTGGCCCAGCCGGCCCGAGCCCGCAGGTTGGTGCAGTGAAGAGTCGCTGCTGCCCTGCCGGGGGCCAAGGCTGAGCGTGCAGCCACCGCCCCTGCCACTGCGCCCAGGTTGGGCGGCTGGCTCCCGCAGCTACCTGCCTTTCTCCAAGCCCTGCGCTTCTCCCTGGCCCATTTTTACTGGAAAGCCACCAAGCAAGTGAAGAAGTGAGCGCTGTCTGAGCACCTCCTCCCTCCTGCTCTAGGAGCGCAGGGATGGTTCCTGAGGGAGACACTCAGGAAACCACCTCCGCCCTTTCCCGCCCCCATCCAACATGCCCCCTCACACCGCCCCATCTGCTCCAGCTTCCCATTTTCCCAAGGTAAAAGTTCACTAACTTCCCGCCTCGGGAACCCGTTTGTCCCGACTTGGGGGACTCAGAGCAGAGGGTGACTAGCACCCCCTAGAAAATGGCCAAGAGGAGAGGTTTTTTTTCTTGAACCTTGCTTTGTACTTTCATTTGAAGCTGTAGAGATGCAGATCCCACCCTGGTGCAGTTCTCGGCGGGAAGGCTTGCTGGACCCACTCTGCCCTGGCCAGCAGGGTCCACTTTGAACAAAGCTACCAAAGGCCGTCCCCACCTGATCCTGGGACAGAAATCCAGCGCCCGCAAAAAACGCTGCGCCTATGCTTTGACCCTGTTAGGTGTGCGTTGCATGACTGCCACAGAGTTTCTTTTCTTGGTTTCTAGAATTTACTCTCCCAAGGGTTTTTATGTATGCTTTCTCTCCTGAACCCAAACAATATGATTAAAGTGACCATGTTAATAATTAAATCTTAATCTATCTTTTGTTACCTTTGGAGCAGCATTTCAAAACATTTTTATTTGCCTTTTTATGGAAAAGCTAAATCATAACTAGTGTTAAGGATTTGCCAGGTCCGTTTAAAAACTTGTGTAGTGGATGTAAATTTGAACAGCATTCCAGGGATTTTGAAGGGAGATGCAGAGGGCAAACTGAACTCTCTTCTAGCCCTTTGCAGAATTGTTCGCAGGAACTGTCCTGCTTGAATGATGGTTTCAAAGAAAGAAATTCAATGTCGGAATCTGACAAACTTTTTGAGGACAATGATTGTCTCATATCTTTTCAGAGCCCCATATTGAAATATGGTATTTGTTGGGGGCAGCACTCAGTGGCAGGACTTGGGTTCAATCCCCAGCGTCCCCCCCACCAAAAAAAAAAAAAAAAGATATTGTAGAAACATTAGTTGAAATAAAACCCTGCGAATAGTCAGTATGGGAATGGTGGAACTAAGCACACCTGTTCACATTCACACACTTTTTTGTTATGCTAGATTGGTTTTCTCAGAAGCTGAATTGTATTGTGTGCCACCAACCTGTAGATTGTATGCAAATCTCAGAGCTATTTTTAAATATAAATGTTATTGACCCCATTTTTTCAGTAAGGGGTCTGAAGCTAAAGCAGAAATGACACTTCCAAACAAGGATCTGAACCAGGCTTAAAAGGCTGTAAACACTCTACATTCAATCTTGTTGTATCTCCCATTTTATATGCTTAGAATTTATTTAACAATTCATTGGCTTCCTCCAGGTTTTTACTCTTCACAGCTTTTCCTTTGCTTTTCAAAATATAAATACACAACTTAACTACAAATAATTATATTGTATTTATAATACTGATGTTAGAAAAACTTGATTGCCCTTCTGCAAAGAATATTTCTGTCTTCTGCACTAGGAGTTAATACTATAGGTAATATGATAAATCCAAAACTTAATGTGAGAGATATCTAATTAAGAATAATAATGAAATGTTCTACTGTAGAAGAATTTAAACAAATGGTTTCCTTATCAAGCAAAGTTTTCAAATTGAATGGATTTTTAAAATCATACTCCTATAGAAAAAAAAACACTATGGTAGTTGCCACCTTCTCCATTTTTTGAAGAGTACAAAGGTAGTATTTGTGTTACAGCAAACTTTTGAACTGAGCTATATAATAATTGCATGGATAATGTTTATTGTGGTTCAAATAGCGGATAAGGCATAAATTTTTACTTTTTCATTCTTAACCTACTTACTACAGTGTGTCAGACATTGTTAAAGTGGAAATAACAAGTTCAAATAAATATGGGTGCATTCTTATGCACAATTCTTTTTTTTCTATCTTGGATTCTTGATGGAGTTTATTGTTTATGGCAGTAACATGGAACTCCTAGTTGACCTTCAAGATGACATTTATATAAAACTGAACTCAATTCAACCTATTAGAGGGAATAAAAATGGTATTCCTGAGGATGACCAATTATAATATGGGATTGTTGCACCAAAATATTGTTAAAATGATTTAAATTGTTGAATTAACTAACTCTCATAGCACTTTTTCCTGAGCATTTTTTCATAGCCCTTACATTTACAGAATGCAAATTAGATGTTACCCATTGGCTTCTTGGGAAATGGGGCCAAGCCTTGATCGTTCACTGGGCTGATAGTGCCTTATGCATAATGAACACCCAATAAGCCATGGGGAATAGATAGCTGAATGGCTACTAACACTTCACAACCCCTTTTTACTTCTTTATTTTCAAGAGCACTAGACTTGACATTATAATACCCATATTTAAATATCAACTTCTTTAATTGCTAAATTATACCTTTCTTGGTTTTCATTTGATTTCCATGAACTTCAAATTCATCAAATAAATGGGGATGTGTTAGTTATCTTTATGTTACTGTAGCAAATATCTAAGATAGTCCACTTATAAAGAGAAAAGGTTTATTTTTAGCTCATTGTAAGGTTTCATTCAGTGCATGATTAATTGACCCAATCACCTTTGAACCCATGGCAAAGCAGCGCATCATTGATTGTAGTCACCAAGTAGTGGAGCAAAGCTGCTCACCTAATAGTGGGGAAGTGAAGTAAGGAGGAGGAAAGTACTGGAGCACCAATATTCCTTTTTAAGGGCACTTTCACATTGCTTGGAAGACCTTCTACTAGGCTGTACTTTTTAAAGGTTCCACCACCTCCCAATATCACTGGGTTGGGGACCAAGCACATGGACCTTTGAAGGACACTTATTCAAACCATAGTAGGGAAAGAATCATTGCTCTCAAATAATGACTACAGGATAAGGTGAGAAAATATAAACTCTAGAGCTCTCTGTTGTTCTTGGAACTCAGGCACAGAAATGTTTTCTGCATTATTGGAATGATAAGTTATCTTTTTCATCAGCAGCGCTTATATCACTTAATTAATCTTGATTGCTTACAATTAATTACAGAAATGGCACTCAGTAACAAATTTGCATGTCATCAATGTTTATTCTACAAATACTTTACCTAAGTCACTATTGATATTTTATACAATACATTGAAACAATATTCAAGTAAAACATGTATTTACTGATTTCAAACTTAAACTTAACATTTGCCATTGGCTGGGAATTGTTAATATTATCTGAATTAGGTACTTCGTATGATGTGAAACCTAAGACTGAAAGTGTCAAGAAGCCACTGGTTTAAACATTTCATAATAATAATAATATAGTACATTTCCATAATAGTCATATTTGTAGCTTGTGTTTATATCCTTTATCACATTTCCTTCATGGAAAAATTATCTGAAAGCTGTCTTCGGAGTTGCTACTGGCTCTAATTTTCAAAAGGAGGAAACTAAAGCTCAAGGAGGTTACATGTTCTACCCAAATCCATTATCTAATAAGTCATGGAGTATGTGGTCTAAAAGCCAGGTTCATTAACTCCAAATAATGAAATTTTTTGTATCAAGTCAGATCAAAAAAATGAAGTGAATACTTCTTAGTAATTGTATGTTTTCTTTTTCACATGTCATTTTACCAAGCATTTCTAGGTTTTGTCAAAGGTATATTACTAATGAATAAAACATTTCAATAATTAGATCTTCCCTGATAGTATGCATTATGTCCTCCCTGATTAWTTTTACACTATGCAAGACCATATTAAAACATTGACCCAAGAATGACTCTCTTCTTTATTTTCAAGAAGCAGATCCAGCAGCTTAAAATAGAATTACTTTTCTAAATCCATATGTTAATTATAAGGTTATTTCTGTAGAAAATTTGAAAAATTAATACCATTGGAACAATATTAAAGTAGTCTGAGATTGAACATTTTTCTTAAAGAATATGCATATATTAATATGGCACATTATTCATATCATATGAGGAATGTCTTTCTGCTACATTATTTCCTTTACCCAAGTAGTTATTATTGATTTGCTATAAAATGGCAATGAAGGTTTTTAAAAAACATGTTAAATTATTAACAAAATGGATCTAGTTACCTACAGACTGATTTTAAACTAATAATTCTGATTTTTTTGCAGACCTCTTCTGTGTTGGTTAATGTATTGGCCAGTTTCCAAAGGTATAATATCATTTGTTTCTCACAAAAATCCTGCAGAGTATACATAACCATTCCCAAGAGTCTTAATTTATTTTCTTTTGCTCTGACAGGTTACAAGAGACTAGAGAGTTTATAAAGAAAAGAAGTTCACCTAGCTCACAGCTTTGTAGGTTAAGATGACCAAGAGCATAGAAATGGCATCTGATGAGGGCCTACATGCTACGTCATAACACGGTGGAAGGTGAAAGGGCAAGCGAGTGTGTGCAAAAGAGGAAGCCG